AAAACATCATTGGTCTTATCTAGATGTGAATCTATGAGCCACAAAAGCCAGAATATTGGATAAGAAGTGCCCACATCTACAGTTGGTTATAGAGATAACCTCCAGTTGGATTTAAGGTCCACACTACAGGAGAGAACTCAAGTCTGATCCTACAAGATCAATTAACAACCCAGGCCTAGCAAGGTCATAGGCCCAAGTAAGGCAACTAAGTTAACATCAAACTGTGTTCTTAATATATATGTTCATTTACAGAAGCGACTCACAGCTTTAAGCAGAGAAGCTCCTCTTTACAGTGAACAGCATGAATGCTGAGACTCAGAGCTGCCCAAGGTGCTGAGAATAAATGACAGCTGGGTGTTTAGCCCTAAATAAAACATTTATACCACACCCTCTAAGGCTCAGAGAACACAGCAGAAAAGGGAGCAGGAGATATGTAAGAAGCCAAAGATAGAGTGAAGGCTGTGAAATCCCATCCTCCAGAGGTCACATTGAGAGACCAAAAAGATTAAAAATTAGCAACTATTATTAAGGCCTGAACTATGTGGGTGGAGAAGTCTAGTAATGCCCTGAGGGGAAGGACCACCTTACTGCATTCTTTCCCCACCCACTAGAGATAACAGTTGCTAGGAAACTGGCCCATTCCCCTAGGGAGGGACACCAGGTCATTATGGTCTGGGGACCTTCCTATATAGCCAATCAATTCAAAATGTAGTATTTTGACCAATAGATGCTTGCCAGGCAGGAATCGTCCCTGCCTTGGGCATGCTGGGAGGGACCAGAATCTATATATCACCCAACAAACCTGGGCGCAGCATGCTCAGCTCCCACCGCTTTGGCGGTGGCTGTTGTGGGCCCAAGCTGCAGCTTGTAATTTACAATAAAAAGACCCTCGTGTGTTTTGCAATGGAGTCAATTCCTGTAGATCTTTTGGGGGCTCGAGAACTGGGTATAACAACATGATGACTGTAATCACAAACTCAAAATAGTTTCACTTGGACCACAGAAAACAGAGCCTGTTAACGATCAGCCATAGAAAGAGGGGGAGCTATAGGGACACTCCTCTCTGCCGAACTACTGGTGACTGGTGGGTTCTGGCAGTGGAAGAAGTCATTGCTTCCAGTTGTGGACCCGCTCAGAGATACTACATAAACTCAGTGGGCTGCAAACAACTGAGAGTTGTAGACATGGGGAGCGCAGGCAGAGGTAGCAGAGAGGTGAGAGGAGGTGAACAGAGAGAGGGGTCAGTATATGTTATGTACATGCATGAAATTGTCAAAAAAATAAACTCTTAAAAAAAAACCATAATATTAAATCTCCAGATAAGAAAATGCTGTTTATTTCACAGGCTTTACATTTAAAAAGTAGAAACCACAAAATCAGAGAAGAGAGAAAAAAAAAAAGGATATTGCCAAAGAAATTACCCAACAAACTGCTCAAGAGGCAAAAATATGACTTTTCACATTGAAAAAATACCCACTCTGAATAACCATTAGTGAAAAGGTGTTTCTCAAGATCTGAAAAAAAAAATTATCTCCTACAATTTCATTCTTTGGAAGCAAAGATATGTGCACAGGAGAGTAATGGATGCAGAGGGAAGCCTGAGACCAGGAAAGAAAAATAGCCACAGGGGAAAAAAAGGTTCATCACCAGGTTGGAGGTTATGAAAGACCCCAAGACAGAGACTACAAAACTACTACTGCAAACTGGAGTGAGGGGAGCAGGCTCTCCTGCATTGTTTCATTTATTTCTTTAACCTTTTTATTTTTTTTTCTTCAAGAGTATAATTTCATGGTGCCAAGAGAGTTTATATGGTAATTATTAATTGCTGAGGAAAAAGCACTTTTCCTAAAGGTGATGCTGCTGTGTATAATATCCACAAAATTTACTAATATGTCTTTAACAACTAATCCAAGAGATAGCTGGGAGAGAGCAAAACTTTCCAACAAGGTCGCTAACCTGAAAAAGTTAAAAATCTGACCTGGCTCAGTGGCGCGTGCCTGTAATCCCAGCACTCAGGGAGGTAGAGGCTGGGCTGGCCTGGTCTACAAAATGAGTCCAGGGCAGCCAAAACTACACAGAGAAAACTTGTCACGGAAAAAAAAAAAAATTAAAAATCCAAAGCTTTTCATTTTCCATTAGTTCAACATTTCATGTCCTTAGATTTTTCTCAATACCTTTATCATCCCATGAATACACACATTTAAGAAATGCCCTGTGGTAACAAGTGCTGTATGCTCACTAAAGCCATGTCTAGGAGTTCTAAAGGTAGCAAATCATGGGTTCAAACCCACATGCAATGATTCTGGTACTACAGAGCTTACTAAAGAATGTTATTATTTTGGCCTTCATTTAAAATTTCTTAATTATTTACCTTCATAAAAAATGAATGCATTTTTTGCTGGTTTCCCACCTGTTCTAAAACAACCATTTTCCCCTTTGCTGAGTCCAGAGCTTAGGAGAACTTTTCTGAATGAATGACCTTATTTTACCACGTGATCTCAGCTGTGTCCTCCTCACCCCACCCTTATTTCTGCTCCATAGCTCAAATTTAATTTACTGAAAAATTACATGCTATCTTTAGTTTTTCCTTCCAACAATTTCTTATTGACCCAGCCAGCTTTTAGTTGTGTCAGCAAAGTTCAGCATTTAGTTAACCATAGCTGTCAGTTTTGTTTTTTTTTTAAACTTTATCCTTAAAATTGTATTTAGGCAAATATCTTACAAATATAGTAAACAGTAATGTTCTATCATGAGTTTATAAATTGTGAAAATTCTTTAAATTCCACAAATTATAAGAAAAAAAGATTCTTGATTCATTATCTATTTTAAATAATTTGCTCAGTGATGACAAAAAATCAGAAATGATAATTTTATTTATATACAAACTTCCAGCTTAAGAATGTGTACCATGGGAGAATGAATATTAACCCATTTTTACTACCACAGCATAGAGCTGCAGACTGAATTGAACTCAAGATGCTCTCTAATCCATCATCTATCTCTAAGTGACTACATTTTAACAATCCAAGAGATATACATCCTTCTTTATTTTTTTCAGAATCTCTGGGGAAGAGGTTACAGTAAACTTCTCAATTTGTTGTATTGTCTAAAATAACTTCTTTTACTCATAACTCAAACCTGCAGGTAAAAGGAAGTGCAGCCCAAACTTCCCACATCCTTGATAGATGCTTGTCCTAGGTAGTGTTACTATCAGTGTGATAAAACACCACAACCAAATGCAAATTTCCTCCTTGGGGAGGAGAGGAAATACATCTGATTTACACTCACACATCACTAAAGGAGTCAGGACAGGATCTAACGCAGGGTAGGAATTGGTGCAGAGGCCATGGAGGAGTGCTGCCTACTGACTTGCTCACCAGAGCTTGCTCAGCCTGCTTTCTTAAAGAACACAGGACTACCAGCCCACTCCCAATGGGCTGGGCCCTTCCTTAGCAATCACTAAGAAAATGCCCCACAGGCTTGTCTTCAGCCAGATCTTATGGATGCATTTCCTCAATGGAGGCTCCTTCCTTTCCAATGACTCTAGTTTGTGTCAAATGGACAGAAAAAAAAAAAAAAAAACCTAACTAGTACAATGCTCTTTACTGACCGTGGTTATAAAACAACCATATAAATGACTAGATGAAATCGTTGTTATGATAAAACTTCCTATTAGCTAGTCAATCATTAATCTGTTTTGAGCAATAACCGATTTAAAATAGTTCAATACAGTGAAAATATGTAAGCCAAAGATGGACACCTATATTGAGTTCACAGGAAGATTTTTTTATTAATAAGAAAAGTAATTTCTATTAGTTGTGTATGTATGAGTCCTAAAGATGAAAAATAGGAAATACTTACTGGGACCTTCCTGGATGCCAGGCCTCATACTGCATGCAGAACCTGAGGGTGACTCTTTGCAGCAGCTCTGTGAAGGGAACACTACCATCATCCCCACTTTCAGGTGATGCAATTGAGGCCCAATGAAGCGCAATAATCCGAGGCCTCATAATCAATGGGCAGTAAAGCCAAGGTGAAAACCTAAACAGGATGCGCCTGTCTCTAATGAGTTCTTAAAGAATTATAGTCATTATTATTACTAAGATGATTAAGGTTGATCACAAATATCTACCTATAAAGTATTTCTTCAGATTCTCATTAGTTTCTTGATATCAAAGATGATATGCGAGGGGCTGGAGAAATGGTTCAATAATTAAAAGTAAAGACTGTTAGGAAAAAAAAAACCATACAAACTCTGTTTGGTTCCCAACACCTACGTTAGGTTGCTCACAACTGCCAGTCACTCTAGCTATAGGTGGTCAACATCTCTGGCCTCAATAGGTACCAGTACACACACACACACACACACACACACACACACACACACACAACACAACACATGCACACATAAATGAAAACATCTTTGAAAAACTGTCCTAAGAAGAACAAAAACCTTCTAAAACCATGTGTTCACATGACAAGGCATATTTCAAACTTTATTGTTTTTAAATTTGCTTGATCATTACCAATTATCATTGTCATTGATAATTTTCCCATGTCTATCCAGATTTATTTCTTAATTTTATGTAAATATTTTAAATATGATTTTAGTTATTTCAGAATTTACTTATACTTCTAAGGACTACACAGTGCTTTTTGGTTTTATCCTAAATGAAAAAAGGCAGTTTAATATTTGAAGCTATGTTAGACTAGCTTCAATATAAATATCTTATATTGAACCATGAGAAATTTCCTTCCAGTGTAAATGTAACTTTTTATTAGGAAAATGGCCAACTATGTTGACTGAGTAATATCATTGTTTTGTTAAAATAATTCATGTTGTTAATGTTATGAGCACATTTTTAAACAGGTGAATACTTCGGCTAATATGTAAAGCTTTCTTCATGTATCAGTTCAATGTTTGAAGGGGAATAAGTATATTTTTAAAGCCATATACACTTTGAAATTTGATGGATACTTTAACCTTAGTACAAAGTTACTTTTCTCCTTGTTTCCTTTCCCACTGTAATCGCATGCCCATCCTGCCTCATGCCATTCTTAAGGCCAGAATTCTCACTGACACCTGCTGAGGAAGCATCTTCATCCTTCTGGAAAGGACGTGCTTGGTTTCCTGTCTTTTGACATCAGCGGGAAGCATCAACCCATGCATTGTCCAAGTTGCTTTCTTCATTAACAACAGATGGTCTAAGATAGTTTTTCTTTTTTTAAAATTCAGCCAGTATTTGGCATCAGAGTTTAAAGATGGACACATCATGCTTCCCTTCTCCCTATTTCCTGTGTCATACACACTGGCCCGTCTCCATTTAGATGCTGGTTTTCTGAAATGCTACCTCCAGCTTCTCCAGCTTCCCACTAACCGTGACATAAGCTATAGCAAGCTGTCTGCTCTGATCGCCTGCATAAATCATCATTTCTGAAAGGAACAGATGTTCGGGGTATGAAAGAGTAATACCACAATTTAGTCCTAATTAAAATTCACCTTAGCGTGCGTCTATCCCTGATCGCACGCACCCAGCTTCAAGAGTCCATTGAAGGGGTCCAGTGTCCTTCGCTACTGTAAAACAACACGACACCTGAACTCTTGTGTCCTTTCCTTTGGGGAAACACCATTTCTTCCATAATATGTTTTCTTTTGCTGTTGCTTTAAAGCTGATGACCTCTAATCAGTGACCTTCCGCAGTCCTTCTGTGAGGAGCAGGAAGGCACTTTCTAAGCTACTTCATTGCATGTGAAGAAAGGCTTTTCATTAACAGTTTGCTTTGACCTACATATTTTCAAAGACGTGTGCGGGGATTTCAGTTTCGAACTCCCACCAATGTTAATGGGAATGCAGCTAAATTACTATGTAAGGCTGCAAAAAAGTATACGCGTGAAAACAGGCATGTAGCATATGACATCTCAGTAGCTGTCACTCTTCCTCCTTTTTTAAGGGGTTTCATTTGGTAAGTAAATAATTTACCTGAACCATTTATCCTGCTTGTGCACTCAATTGGTTTTAGATTTTTTTTTTAACTACAAATTATACAGAAACACAGTGATACCTCCTTCATCTGTTCTTATTTTCACTAATGAGAGAAATGTCTATTTATATACACCCAAGAATACCTTAATTACATGCTCAAAATTCTATGTGATCCTCCGGTAGTACACACCGCGATTTCTTTCATGTAGAAATGGCGCTTTTACACACACACACATACACACACACACACACACACACACACACATATACATACATATATATACACATTATGGTCATAGCAGCACATGGGCAAATGGATAGATTATAGTATCTAGACATGATGGGATATTTATCCAACCATAACAAGGAACGAAATGCTGATACATACTGCAATGAAAACAAGTCTCAAAAACATTGCACGAAGTGAAAGAAGAGACGTGACATATGATTCCATTTATATGAAATCTTAAGAATTTAGGTTAAACCTATAGGAAAAGAACAAAGGTAGTTACCTGGAGCTGAAAAGAGAGGCGCACAGAGAGAAACAAGGAGAAATAGTCTCACCTAGAAATGGCTGCATAAATAAAATTTAAACAATGCCAAGAATTACAGGCCACTATATATTTTGATTATATTATTTCCCCTCCCCCTCTTTACCTCTCAACTTCATGTTCTTTTTCTGTCTCAAAAAAATCAAAACAAACTAGAAACCAAAGTCTCTGTCTGTCTGTCTGTGTCTGTGTGGCTGTCTCTGTCCCTCTCTCTCACTCGTGCATGTGCACACAAAGATGGAACAATCATGGAGTCTCTTTTATGTTGACCAACTATTCTTGGACATGGTGCCTGCCCAGGAGGGTGACTAAGAAACCGAGTGATACTCCATTGGAGAAAACTGATATTCCCTTTGCTAGCAGGTATCAATTGCAAGTAGCTTCTTGGTTAGATACGAGACTTTATTTCTTCTTCTAAGCATTGGAATCTTGTCCAGTTTAAACCTACGAAGGGCTCGTGTATAATGTCACAATTTCATATGCATTTTAAAGATATTTCTGCTTTCTGGTTTTATGTTCATTTTAAAACAATAAGCACGGGAAAACTCAAGTTTTCATTTGTTTTATTCTTTCTCTGCCCGCTAAGTTCTGATGTGCCAGTAGACAACCCACTCAAAATATACAAAATTGTATAGAACTAAAGCAAGCTAAGATTGATTTGTAAAGAAACTGTACTAAGGTGATTAACTCATGCTGGTGCTCCACTGGATCAACAACACGGCTAAAACTCCAGAGACAAGACCTGAGCCTGGGATCTCTGTACCTTCGCCAAGCCCACATCCTTCCGCAGTTCTGGAACTTCCAGGGAAATTCTATTTGCTTTTCCTTTCTGTAATCTGAAAGTAGGTGCTATTTTCTTGATTTTGTGGATGAAGAGAATGAGATTGGGATGAAATAACAATAGATCCCTGCAGTATACACAATAAGTAGGTCTGAGAGGGATCCCAGCAGGATGGCTGTGTAGCCTACTTCCCTAACCTTTGTACTGTTTCCTTCACTGCACAGGAAGGGCCTCGAGTATCAAGGAACTAGAATTTAAAATGGTCATATATCCGTGCATCGTAACACTTCCCCACATTACATAACTCCCTACTTAGCGCTATCTAGCTGCTTTTGTTGCAGGACCACATATTATATCTAATATAATAATATATACGATCTGGCCACTTAACTGTTACAGTCACTCTAAAAGCAGCTGTGACTCTTATAGCTCTTTGGGTCCCTGAGCAAGTACAAGAAGGTTTCTCAGCCTCAGCAACAATGGACATCTCCACATTTGTTATTGTTGTTGCTGAGGCTATTCCTGTGTGTTGTGGAATGTCCTGTGGCTTTCCCAGCGGCTTCACACTTGGTGTCAACTATCATCCTTTCTTTTGGGGCAACTGAAAAATGTTTCTTCTGCTTGAGAACAACTCCAACAGCGAACTTTGAGGAAGCCCCTCTGCAGAGGGACAAGGAGTGCGTATCAGTGCACATGCCACCCTCTTCTCTGACTAGACTCTGAGCACTTCTAGCACAAGCAGTATGTTTTAAGCTCATAACTGCTGGCATCTGGGCACATCGTAAACCATGTGATTGCTGTGTATTTCACAAAATAAGAATGTATTCCTTTCTGAGACGCCAGCATCAGACACAGTGGGCAGGACTCTGCAATGCCCAACAAATATATGTGGAATACTCATCAAGTAAGTTAGATCAGAGCATGCCTAGTACCTCAGCGGCTATTGGGTTGACATTAAGCAAGACATTTTTTTACTTTCGGGATTGATTTCTTTTCTTTGTATGTTGAGAAAAAAAACCCTAGACTTCTACACTCCTTATTAACCATTTCATTATAATGGCTTTCTTGATGTATCATGGAGGATAACCCAGAATAAGCCGAAGCAAATGCACTCAGAGGCTCGGCATACACTAGGCACTGGCTCCAAGATTGTAAAACTTTGGGGTTGAAATAAGCTGTAAACATTATTGGCATAGGGCCTGGGGAAGTGGACCAGTTGGTTAAAAATGCTTGTCCCACAAGCGTGAGTGGATTCTAAGTTTGGATTCTCGACACCTACAAAACCATTGTGAGACAGTGTCTCACACTTTAATTTCAGTATGGAAGAGAGGGAAAAAATGATGGTCCCTGGGGCTTGCTTGCCTATTCCGCTCAGACAATTGGTGAGCTACAAACTCAGGGAGAGACCCTGTGGAGAAAAAAAAAAAACAAAACAAAACAAAACAAAAAAAAAACAGTGAAGTGAAATAATGACTGAGGAACTCATGATATGTCAGTCTATGCCCTCTACAGTACATAAATAATTCTTCAAATATTTATTTAGTAAGTGTACATTGTCCAACTCATTCATTTCCTACTGTGGACACTGCTCTCAGAAAACTGCAAATAGTTCTTGGTCTAAGAAGAGAGAAAGACAGCATGTTGTGTGGCAGGTGATAGGTCAATAGTACACAAGAACTGAGAGAACACGGGGTAGAGGCACCTCATGAAACTCCATGGAATAAAGACCTTCAAATGGCAGTTCAGGCAGGATTCCAAAGGATACGTTCAATAGAAGAAGAAATAGAAAAGCAAAAACTGGGAGGAAAAAATAGTGTAGGTGAAGGCTGAGACACATGACGTGATGAGCAGCTTGAACACAAGGCTGGCCAAAGACAGAACAATGGTGGCAGGAAGCAAGTGGATCTGTGCCTTACACGAAGCGCTGAGACGCGCCATCTTGCTCAGAGTGAGGCCTTCTGGACAAAGTCTGTCTGCTACCTTTGTAGGAATTAGAAGCTCAGGGCTGAAGAGAAGCTTAAAATAACTTGGTTCTCTTCAGGAAACCTGCTTTCAGATCCTTACACTTGAACTGGGAAGCACACAACCACTTGTAACTCCAGCTTGAGGGAATCTTATGTTCTCTTCTGGAATCCAAAGGCACCTGGCACTCTTTGTGGCCCAGGCACACACACACACACACACACACACACACACACACACACACACACAC